CGCTCAATCCAAACCCTGTCGGGCAACTTATGCCCCAAATTTACCTCAATGCACACCCTTGCCTCACTAGGTCGTCTCAAGTCGGTGGTGGCCTCATCAATTCTCAAGGGCATTCCTATTGCCCCAGATAAGGCGAAAAGGAATCCCTTCGCACGTAAATGTACTGGAAGCAGAGGGAACGATACCCATACGGGAACTATCGGAGTCTCTTGCTCAGGTGTAAAGTCACATGTCCACTTAAGGACTCTCATCGGACAACCATCAATATACCATGAAGGTTTAAGAAAAAGTCTGCTGTAATCCTCCTCATGTGTAAGGTGTATAAGAATGTGTGTTGTGTCGATCAATCCTACCTCGAAACAACCATGGAACCCAAACTTAGTAAAAATCTCACGTACCTTTCTCATGGTTGGCTTGCGATGTGGAAATTTCCCCACAAGTGTATACTTGCAAGGATCAGCGAGTGTAGCCTCCTCGGACTCAGTTAAAACTATTGCCGGGCTCACCCATATGTATAAAGGGTTCTTTAGCAGCAAACCCAACAGTGGAAGAGTCATCTATACCATGTATAACCGATGCAAACAACTTTCGTGAACTCCGTTCAGCTTGAGACAGGCCCGGACGGCCAGAAACTGCAGTAGCATAGGTCTTCCGGCCCTGATTGAGCACTGTCTGGGCCTCATGTGGAAAAATCGATGATGGAATTGGGTCCGTAACAAAATTTCCCACATTCTGGTGAAGTGTCACCGGCGCATGACCACCACGCGCCGGCCGTTGCCCGGCGGCGATTTTCCAACGGTGTCAGAAAATTTTGATTTTCCAACGGCCCTAAATGAATATAAGGAGGTACCTCTGGATCAACTGTGATACGAGTAGAGGTAGGAACTGCCGATGCAGATTCTGACTCTGTTACAACTGCGGTAGTAGTAGTGGGAAGCACAGAAGGCACTGCTGAAACTGGAACCCACTGCTTCTTTGGCTCCACAAACGTCACCTTGCCCTTATCCTTATCAGTCCTAGTAATAGGGGGCCGAACAGGGGGGTGCGCAGCAACTGTAGGAGGAGGAGGAACCGTAGTACACTGATCATAAGAATGACCCAAGTGTTTACAAGAGAAGCAAAAAATTGGCCGCTTCTCATAGATAACAGTCTGCCAGAAGCCACGGTTACCAGCGCGCTCAATCCAAACCCTGTCGGGCAACTTATGCCCCAAATTTACCTCAATGCACACCCTTGCCTCACTAGGTCGTCTCAAGTCGGTGGTGGCCTCATCAATTCTCAAGGGTATTCCTATTGCCCCAGATAAGGCGAAAAGGAACCCCTTCGCACGTGAATGTACTGGAAGCAGAGGGAACGATACCCATACGGGAACTATCGGAGTCTCTTGCTCAGGTGTAAAGTCACATGTCCACTTAAGGACTCTCATCGGACAACCATCAATATACTATGAAGGTTTAAGAAAAAGCCTGCTGTAATCCTCCTCATGTGTAAGGTGTATGAGAATGTGTGTTGTGTCAATCAATCCCACCTCGAAACAACCATGGAACCCAAACATAGAAAAAATCTCACGTACCTTTCTCATGGTTGGCTTGCGATGTGGAAATTTCCCCACAAGTGTATACTTGCAAGGATCAGCGAGTGTAGCCTCCTCGGACTCAGTTAAAACTATTGCCGGGCTCACCCATATGTATAAAGGGTTCTTTAGCAGCAAACCCAGCAGTGGAAGAGTCATCTATACCCTGTATAACCGATGCAAACGACTTTCGTGAACTCCGTTCAGCTTGAGACAGGCCCGGACGGCCAGAAACTGCAGTAGCATAGGTCTTCCGGCCCTGATTGAGCACTGTCTGGGCCTCATGTGGAAAAACCAATGATGGAATTGGGTCCGTAACAAAATTTCCCACATTCTGGTGAAGTGTCACCGGCGCATGACCACCACGCGCCGGCCGTTGACAGGCGGCGATTTTCCAACGGTGTCAGAAAATTTTGATTTTTCACAACCAGATGCGGAATTTCATGCTGATCATCACGGTATGTTCCGTTTTCCGAAACGAGTTCAGGATTGGCCAGAATCTGCGATTTTTCGAGTGACTAGCCGGAAATTACGATCGCCAATGAGGGCGCGTTCGCAGTCGGAATTGGATGATTTTTTAGTCGAAGGTTCGCGTTTTCATGGGTAATCTGATGGTCAGGCGCGTGTCCCTGTTTGAGCTCTGTGGAAGGGTTAATTGAAAAATCAGTTTTTGGCCCCTCGGGATCCGATTTGTCAATTTTGGCCGATTCGGATGAAATCTCTGCCACCCCTAGGGTTTTCGGCCCTTCTGGATTCATTGGTGATGGTCTCAGACCCTGATTCAATGCGAAGAGGGGTAGTCCGATCATATAATCACCACAAAAACCAAATTTTTGAAAGCTGTCACGTACCTTAATCATGGAGGGCTTGCGACGTGAGAATTTGCCAACAAGAGTAAATTTATACGGTTCAGAAAGAAAGTCCTCTTCTTCCTCGATAAAGGCAACTGCCGGCTCTCCCATATGCATGAAAGGTTCCTTAGAGGTGAACCTGTGGTCATTGGAGTCCGGTGGGGCTTGCAAAGGGTTAGGGTTTAGGGTCTAGGGTCTAGGGTTTAGGGTTTAGGGTTTAGGGGTTAGGGTTTAGGGTTTTGGGGTTTAGGGGTTAGGGTTTAGGGTTTAGGGTTTAGGGGTTAGGGGTTAGGGTTTTAGGGTTTAGGGGTTAGGGTTTAGGGTTCAGGGTTCAGGGTTCAGGGTTCAGGGTTCAGGGTTTAGGGTTTCTGAGTTTTTTTTTTTTTTTAAAGCAAATACCACTAGTGTGGTTTATTTTATATAATGAAAAGCGGGAAAACAAATAGAGGAGGGGGGCATGGACCTGACCTCCAGAAAATGTAAATTGTAACAAATATTTGAAGATAAAATGCAATCACAGTAAACAAGACACGAACAAAAACTAATGATAGGTACTCAAGGGTATTCCCGAGGGTAAATCTTCGGGTGGTAGTACATAGACATTGATCGAGTCATGCGTCTGGTTTGAAACATTTCTGGATCATAGTAGTCTGCGATGTCTGGCTCGCTCGTTGGAGAGGGGTCTCGCCTGCGTGTAGGAGCCCGCTTTGTTGATAAGTACTGTTCAGATGGTGGTGCACTGAATGTCGGGCGAAAAGCGGGTGCATCTGATCTCATTGTACTAGTCGTAGGTGCGTCTAATCTCATGGTGTTCTGTGCTACGACATCTAAATCGTGGGAGATTGACTTGCTTGCTGTAGGGACATCGTCCTCTGCATTTTGCATGCAGTTTCCAAGTCCCATGCCATCCATGTCTCTCTGTATATGTTCTTTCACCTTATTGTGTGTAGGAGCTGTGATAGAAGGACTAGGTGAAGGTGTCTGCGTAGGAGTCTTACTCACAGAAGGTCCCTCTCCAAAGAGTTTAAAAACCAAGTCCTCAATAGCAAATCTCATGGTAGATCCAACTTTCATTCCATGGTCCTTCTTAAAGTGATCAATCAGCATATGCTTGACACTATGTCGCTCTGAGCTGATCTCAGCCAACAACCCCTGTGCAAGAGTGGTTTGAGGAACTGTCTCGGTACCTGATCCCTGCGCTGATTGAGTACTATCTGTGTGTGTCTTTAATGGTGGAGAACTCATATGTGTCGGCTCAGGGGGTACATCAGTAGTAGCTGTGGGAATAGGAGCTATGGAAGTGGGTACCTCGATTGGAGCATTTGGAGTAGGCTCAGCAACTGAATGAATATACGGAGGTACCTTTGGATCAACTGTGATACGAGTAGAGGTAGGAACTGTTGATGCAGATTCTGACTCTGTCACAACTGCGGTAGTAGTAGTGGGAAGCACAGAAGGCACTGCTGAAACTGGAACCCACTGCTTCTTTGGCTCCACAAACGTCACCTTGCCCTTATCCTTATCAGTCCTAGTAATAGGGGGCCGAACAGGGGGGTGCACAACAACTGCAGGAGGAGGAGGAGGAACCGTAGTACACTGATCATAAGAATGACCCAAGTGTTTACAAGAGAAGTAAAAAATTGGCCGCTTCTCATAGATAACTGTCTGCCAGAAGCCACGGTTACCAGCACGCTCAATCCAAACCCTGTCGGGCAACTTATGCCCCAAATTCACCTCAATGCACACCCTTGCCTCACTAGGTCGTCTCAAGTCGGTGGTGGCCTCATCAATTCTCAAGGGCATTCCTATTGCCCCAGATAAGGCGAAAAGGAACCCCTTCGCACGTAAATGTACTGGAAGCAGAGGGAACGATACCCATACGGGAACTATCGGAGTCTCTTGCTCAGGTGTAAAGTCACATGTCCACTTAAGGACTCTCATCGGACAACCATCAATATACCATGAAGGTTTAAGAAAAAGCCTGCTGTAATCCTCCTCATGTGTAAGGTGTATAAGAATGTGTGTTGTGTCAATCAATCCCACCTCGAAACAACCATGGAACCCAAACTTAGAAAAAATCTCACGTACCTTCCTCATGGTTGGCTTGCGATGTGGAAATTTCCCCACAAGTGTATACTTGTAAGGATCAGCGAGTGTAGCCTCCTCGGACTCAGTCAAAACTATTGCCGGCTCACCCATATGTATAAAGGGTTCTTTAGCAGCAAACCCAGTAGTGGAAGAGTCATCTATACCCTGTATAACCGATGCAAACGACTTTCGTGAATTTCGTTCAGCTTGAGATAGGCCCGGACGGCCAGAAACTGCAGTAGCATAGGTCTTTCGGCCCTAATTGAGCACTGTCTGGGCCTCATGTGGAAAAACCGATGATGAAATTGGGTCCGTAACAAAATTCCCCACATTCTGGTGAAGTGTCACCGGCTCATGACCACCACGCGCCGGCCGTTGACCGGCGGCGATTTTCCAACGGTGTCAGAAATTTATGATTTTTCACAGGGAGATGTAGAATTTCATGATGATCATCACAGTATGTTCCGTTTTCCGAAACGAGTTCAGGATTGGCCGGAATCTGCGATTTTTCGAGTGACTGGCCGGAAATTGTGATCGCCGGTGAGGGCGCGTCCGGAGTTGGAATTGGATGATTTTTTAGTAGAAGGTTCACCTTTTCATGGGTAATCTTATGGTCAGGTGTGTGTCCCTGTTTGAGCTCTGTGGAAGGGTTAATTGAAAAATCAGTTTTTGGCCCCTCGGGAACCGATCTGTCAATTTCGGGCCATTCGGATGAAATCTCTACCACCCCCAGGGTTTTCGGCCCTTCTGGAATCATTGGTGATGGTCCCAGACCCTGATTCAATGCGTAGGGGGGTGTTTCGATGACCTTGGGATTCGTGCCATGATTTTTCAAACTCAGATCTATTGAGTTGGGGGATGAATCTGATATTGGTGTTATAGGAGATGTTTGGGTGGTTGTTGGTGATGATTTTCCACCACTTAGAGTGCTGCAATCCGGTGGTTTTGGTGGTGGATCAAGTTTGTTGGAGTTTTGGAGGTTTTCTCCCATTCTAGAGAGAAGGGAGAGCGTTTTGGAGGTGGTTTAGGGTTTTTTTTTTTTTTTTTTTTTTAAAGCAAATACCACTAGTGTGGTTTATTTTATATAATGAAAAGCGGGAAAACAAATAGAGGAGGGGGGCATGGACCTGACCTCCAGCAAATGTAAATTGTAACAAATATTTGAAGATAAAATGCAATCAAAGTAAACAAGACACGAACAAAAACTAATGAAAGGGACTCAAGGGTATTCCCGAGGGTAAATCTTTGGGTGGTAGTACATAGACATTGATCGAGTCATGCGTCTGGTTTGAAACATTTCCGGATCATAGTAGTCTGCGATGTCTGGCTCGCTCGTTGGAGAGGGGTCTCGCCTGCGTTTAGGAGCCTGCTTTGTTGATAAGTACTGTTCAGATGGTGGTGCATTGAATGTCGGGCGAAAAGCGGGTGCATCTGATCTCATTGTACTACTCATAGGTGCGTCTAATCTCATGGTGTTCTGTGCTACGACATCTGAATCGTGGGAGATTGACCTGCTTGCTGTAGGGACATCTTCTTCCGCATTTTGCATGCAGTTTCCAAGGCCCATGCCATCCATGTCTCTCTGTATATGTTCTTTCACCTTATTGTGTGTAGGAGCTGTGATAGAAGGACTAGGTGAAGGTGTCTGCGTAGGAGTCTTACTCACAGAAGGTCCCTCTCCAAAGAGCTTAAAAACCAAGTCCTCAATAGCAAATCTCATGGTAGATCCAACTTTCATTCCATGGTCCTTCTTAAAGTGATCAATCAACATATGCTTGACACCATGTCGCTCTGAGCTGATCTCAGCCAACAACCCCTGTGCAAGAGTGGTTTGAGGAACTGTCCCAGTACCTGATCCCTGCGCTGACTGAGTACTATCTGTGTGTCTTTAATGGTGGAGAACTCATATGTCCCGGTACCTTTGATGATGCTGTGAATGGCTAGCATTGAATCTACCTCAATCCAAATAGCTGATATCCCAAGTCCTCTGGCTAATAGAAGCCCATCTAGTATGGCTCTGAGCTCAGCCTCCAAAATGAAACATGTTCCATATGATGCTGAGAATGCCCTGATACAGTATCCTGCGTGGTCCCTAATGATGCCTCCACCACTTGCAAATCCATCTTTGACGCATCCATCGGTATTGATCTTGTAGGATCCAATAGGTGGAGTGCGCCAAACAACCATAATAGGTGGTGGTGGTAGTAGTAGTGGGAAGCACAGAAGGCACTGCTGAAACTGGAACCCACTGCTTCTTTGGCTCCACAAACGTCACCTTGCCCTTATCCTTATCAGTCCTAGTAATAGGGGGCGGAACAGGGGGGTGCACAACAACTGCAGGAGGAGGAGGAGGAGGAACCGTAGTACACTGATCATAAGAATGACCCATGTTTTTACAAGAGAAGCAAAAAATTGGCCGCTTCTCATAGATAACTGTCTGCCAGAAGCCACGATTACCAGCACGCTCAATCCAAACCCTGTCGGGCAACTTATGCCCCAAATTCACCTCAATGCACACCCTTGCCTCACTAGGTCGTCTCAAGTCGGTGGTGGCCTCATCAATTCTCAAGGGCATTCCTATTGCCCCAGATAAGGCGAAAAGGAACCCCTTCGCACGTAAATGTACTGGAAGCAGAGGGAACGATACCCATACGGGAACTATCGGAGTCTCTTGCTCAGGTGTAAAGTCACATGTCCACTTAAGGACTCTCATCGGACAACCATCAATATACCATGAAGGTTTAAGAAAAAG